ATGGTGCTTTTTTATTATGTGATGGTGCTTTTGTATTATAAGATGGTGCTTTTTTATTATGTGGTGGTACTTTTTTATTATGTGATGGTGCTTTTTTATTACGTGATGGCGGTTCCGGTGATCAACAGGAAGCGTGGCGTGTATTTGAAAACAGGTACGGACCAATTGCTAATAAAATATGAAAAAATCTTAAATCAAGAAAATCAAAACTTTAAAAGTTTTTAGGGATTATTTTGTTTGAAATAAAAAAAAATCAATTGAATATAATTGATAAATAAATATAGTTTATATCATTATTTCTTTGTATGAGTCATTTTTAATAAATGTCGAATTTTCAGTACACCTATGATATTTGTTTTAAATTTTTGATGGAAACTCCAGTTGTATGTTTGTAGAATTTATGTTTTTAAACATCGATAAATCAACATGATTTAAATCCATTTTGATAATATTATTGTATTCTAAATAAGATTTTTGCGTTATGTGAGTATAGGGTCATTTTTACAAATTTCAAATGACTTTTTCCCCGTTTTCTGATTGGCTTGCAATCTGTAAAAAGAACTATTTTTGAATGTTGATGAATGACGACTCTAACGAACAATCATAGTCTTTTTCATTATTTTATGTAACTTTTTTTCTTCTTACTGAATTGAATCGGCGTACATGAAATGTGTTTCTATCCTCTAACCGATACTAGATCGCCCGTTAAATTGTTTTCCTGTGAGTATGGAACTATGTTTTTGTATAAAAGTTTAGAGAAAAGAAAATGCAAGACATTAAGCGAAAAAATTAAGTGCATACACCCTGGGGAAAAATAAAAAATCATTTCTTTTATCGTAAATTTTGGTATTAAGCTTTCCGTTAAAGATAAAGATATCAAGATCCAGGAAAGGGCAATACTCATTGTTAGCATTAGCTTTATTTAAAGTCAGTTAAGCAGGGTTAATCTCTTTATTGTACATACTCAATTCGTCATTATTGACAGCCAATATATCATTCAAATATCTACAAGTGTTATTAAATTTTGTATCAGATGTTGTTTCGATGGGTCTTTGCTGATTTTAGTCATAAATTGTAACTCGAAACAATACAGAAACAGGTTTGCAGAAAGTGGTGCACAGTAAAGTTCCCATTGGAATTCCGATAACTTGGCGATATACGGAATCTCCATAGCGAACAAAAAAATAAGAACGTTTATCGAAAGTTTTAATATTGGAAGTACATCATATTGAGATGTACAAGGACCAAATGATTGTATAACATTTTTTGTAAAGAGGTCATACATGTATAGCAATAAAGCCGACAAAAAGGTTTGTTTCCATGTCGGTTTCATCTCTTCATAAGTTCAATGGTCTTCATTATGACTTCATTGATTGTAACAGTAAACAATTTGTACATGTGAAATTGAAGTTATGGAACGAAATACTGTAACTTCTACTCTTCTAATATTTTTATCATGCTCGTTGATCCCGCTATTTTCATTACGGATATATCGCCGAAAAAAATGCCGGGTCAGCGGGTGGTCCAATTCCTGTATATTGATAAATTCATTTATCAATTATATTTAATTGATTTTTTTTTATTTCAAACATAATAATCCCTAAAAACTTTTAAAGATTGTGCTTTATTATTATGTGATGGTGCTTTTTTATTATATGATTGGGCTTTTTTATTATATGATGGTGCTTTTGTATTATAAGATGGTGCTTTTTTATTATGTGATGTTGGCTTTTTATTATGTGATGGTGTTTTTGTATTATAAGATGGTGCTTTTTTATTATATGATGGTGCTGTTTTATTATGTGATGGTGCTTTTTTATTATAAGATGGTGCTTTTTTATTATGTGATGGTGCTTTTTTATTATATGATGGTGCTTTTTTATTATGTGATGGTGCTTTTGTATTATGTGATGGTGCTTTTTTATTATATGATGGTGTTTTTTTATTATGTGATAGTGCTTTTTTATAATATGATGGGGCTTTTTTATTATATGGTGGTGCTTTTTGTATTATAAGATGGTGCTTTTTTATTATATGATGGTGCTTTTTTATTATGTGATGGTGCTTTTTTATTATGAGATGGTGCTTTTTTATTATGTGATGGTGTTTTTTTATTATATGATGGTGCTTTTTTATTATGTGATAGTGCTTTTTTATTATATGATGGGGCTTTTTTATTATATGGTGGTGCTTTTTGTATTATAAGATGGTGCTTTTTTATTATATGATGGTGCTTTTTTATTATGTGATGGTGCTTTTTTATTATGAGATGGTGCAATTTTATTATGTGATGGTGCTTTTTTATTATGTGATGGTGCTTTTGTATTATGTGCTGGTGCTTTTTTATTATATGATGGTGCTTTTTTATTATGTGATGGGGCATTTGTATTATATGATGGTGCTTTTGTATTATATGATGGTGATTTTTAATTATATGATGGTGTTTTTTTATTATGTGATGGTGCTTTTTTATTATATGATGGTGCTTTTTTATTATGTGATGGTGCTTTTTATTATGTGATGGGGCTTTTTTATTATATGATGGTGCTTTTTATTATGTGATGGTGTTTTTTTATTATGTGATGGTGCTTTTTTTATTATAAGATGGTGCTTTTTTATTATGTGATGGTGCTTTTTTATTATGTGATGGTGCTTTTTTATTATGTGATGTTGCTTTTTTATTATAAGATGGTGCTTTTTTATTATGTGATGGTGCTTTTTAATTATGTGATGGTGCTTTTTTATTATATGATGGTGCTTTTTTATTATGTGATGGTGCTTTTTTATTTTATGGTGGTGCTTTTTTATTATGTGATGGGGCTTTTGTATTATAAGATGGTGCTTTTTTATTATGTGATGGTGCTTTTTTATTATATGATGGCGGTTCCGGTGATCAACAGGAAGCGTGGCGTGTTTTTGAAAACAGGGACGGGCCAATTGCTAATAAAATATGAAAAAATCTTAAATCAAGAAAATCAATTAAATCTTTTAAAGTTTTTAGGAATTATTATGTTTGAAATAAAAAAAATCAATTAAATATAATTGATAAATGAATTTATCAATATACAGGAATTGGACCACCCGCTGACCCGGCATTTTTTTCGGCGATATATCCGTAATGAAAATAGCGGGATCTACGAGCATGAGAAAAATATTAGAAGAGTAGAAGTTACAGTATTTCGTTCCATAACTTCAATTTCACATGTACAAATTGTTTACTGTTACAATCAATGAAGTCATAATGAAGACCATTGAACTTATGAAGAGATGAAACCGACATGGGAACAAACCCTTTTGTCGGCTTTATTGCTATACATGTATGACCTCTTTACAAAAAATGGTATACAATCATTTTGTTCCTTGTACATCTCAATATGATGTACTTCCAATATTAAAACTTTCGATAAACGTTCTTATTTTTTTGTTCGCTATGGAGATTCCGTATATCGCCAAGTTATCGGAATTCCAATGGGAACTTTACTGTGCACCACTTTCTGCAAACCTGTTTCTGTATTGTTTCGAGTTTCAATTTATGACTAAAATCAGCAAAGACCCATCGAAACAACAGCTGATACAAAATTTAATAACATTTGTAGATATTTGAATGATATATTGGCTGTCAATAATGACGAATTGAGTATGTACAATAAAGAGATTAACCCTGCTTAACTGACTTTAAATAAAAGTATTGCCCTTTCCTGGATCTTGATATCTTTATCTTTAACGGAAAGCTTAATACCAAAATTTACGATAAAAGAAATGATTTTTTATTTTTCCCCAGGGTGTAAGCACTTAATTTTTTCGCTTAATGTCTTGCATTTTCTTTTCTCTAAACTTTTATACAAAAACATAGTTCCATACTCACAGGAAAACAATTTAACGGGTGATCTAGTATCGGTTAGAGGATAGAAACACATTTCATGTACGCCGATTCAATTCAGTAAGTAGAAAAAAAGTTACATAAAATAATGAAAAAAACTATGATTGTTCGTTAGAGTCATCATTCATCAACATTCAAAAATAGTTCTTTTTACAGATTGCAAGCCAATCAGAAAACGGGAAAAAGTCATTTGAAATTTGTAAAAATTGACCCTATACTCACATAACGCAAAAATCTTATTTAGAATACAATAATATTATCAAAATAGATTTAAATCATGTTGATTTATCGATGTTTAAAAACATAAATTCTACAAACATACAACTGCAGTTTCCATCAAAAATTTAAAACAATTATCATAGGTGTACTTAAAATTCGACATTTATTAAAAATGACTCATACAAAGAAATAATGATATGAACTATATTTATTTATCAGTTATATTTAATTGATTTTTTTTATTTCAAACAAAATAATCCCTAAAAACTTTTAAAGTTTTGATTTTCTTGATTTAAAATTTTTTCATATTTTATTAGCAATTGGTCCGTCCCTGTTTTCAAATACACGCCACGCTTCCTGTTGATCACCGGAACCGCCATCACATAATAAAAAAGCACCATCTTATAATACAAAAGCCCCATCACATAAAAAATAAACACCACCATATAATAAAAAAGCCCCATCACATAATAAAAAAGCCCCATCACATAATAAAAAAGCACCATAATATAATAAAAATGCACCATCATATAATAAAAAAGCACCATCACATAATAAAAAAGCACCATCATATAATAAAAAAGCCCCATCACATAACAAAAAAGCCCCATCACATAATAAAAAAGCACCATTATATAATAAAAAAGCACCATCATATAATACAAATGCACCATCACATAATAAAAAAGCACCATCGTATAACACGAAAGCACCATCACATAATAAAAAAGCACCATCATATAATAAAAAAGCACCATTATATAATGAAATATCCACAGCATATAATAGCACATGCCACATAAGACAGCTATGGCATTCCATAATTTTGACTTTCAGCATATTAGATATTGATTAGCTACATCCGTGATTATATTTGATAAATATTTACAATTTGTTTTCTCTCTGACACCGCTCCCTTTTATGCTGCTTTGTACTTTATTTGTTACCGATAAAACGGTCAATATTCTTCTTCCTGTGTTTGATTTCATGGCTTCATAAATTATTGCTGCTGATAAAAACAATGGATAAATTATCCGACTTATTTGTCTCATGATGTAACCTATTATTGAGATGGTGACTGGATCGCTGTCATAGATTTTAACAGTAAGTAAGATGAATCATGCATGTAAGACTGTCTGACATGTAGCTCACTAACATCATCTGCTGTTTCATTGTCCCATAACATACCGAGTAGCACGTTGATTAAAGCGTTTTGTTAATTAAGGAACAGCATTCGTAAACATTTGAAATATTTTAGAATCCTTTTTTTTCAGTATATGTTTGAAATCAAATAATGGATATTCGTGGTAAATATATTCTTTCTGTTCCAGACGTAAGCGCATGCAGAGTAGACGTGACAGAAGACTGATCCGGTATAGTAGAAGATGGACACAGTGGCTAATTTATTTAATACTCACTGTCAGGTTCATCTAGATAGCTTGTTAGAGTACTTCTGCGTTGACCATGATCAGCTGTGTTGTCAATATTGTCGAAAAGAACATTCATCATGTCGAAACACCATGTCGCTTACTTTGGCGTCAGAAGGTATACAATTTTCACACAAAGTTTCCGACTGCACGAAACAACTAAAGACATTTGACAGTACTTGCCAGGATATTATCAATAACAGAGATCACTGTGTCGCCACCTTAAAAACAGATGTTAGAAGATTGAAAGAAACTTGGTCTAAAAACTGTAGAGTCGATGAAATAGAAAACAGCTTAAATGAAAAATTAGAAGATACTTTGAAAAAGCTTTGGAATGAAAAACAATATGCTTATCATTTGAAAAGGGAGTTAGAATCAACCTATGATAAAATAGTATTTACAACTACACATGGGACGAACGAGCAAGTTTTCATATTGATTCATACATTTGACTTGGAATTGAAGCAAATCGAAAGCAACATAAGAAATGCTATAAAAAGTCTGAAAAATATTACCATCTTAGTAGAAGATTGTGGAAATAAAAAAGAAACTTCAAAGATGATCACTGTTCTAACGAGTCCATGTGAAATAACCTTCAGGTCTGCGACATTAATTCAAGCACAAGCTCCTTCACAATCGGCAGCAACACTTCAAGTGTTTCAATATCATTCTAGGATTGATGTTACGGGTAAAGCTATAACTGGTATGACTGTCATCGACCAAAATGTTTTACTGCTATGTGACTATAAATACTGTGGTAGTGAAACTGTTTCGGCATACACTGACACAGGGATATTATTGAACACAATCAAGATGCCTGCTCCAGTATGGGATATTGCCATGATCCCAGGTTCTTGTAAAGCAGTTGTAACGTTTAATAGCAAAATTCTCGGCTTTATCAATACAAATAAACTAATACCAATGAAGAGCAAAACCGTATTTGGGGCAAAACATCTTGCTGGTATAGCTGCTTCTCAAAATGAGATAATGGTCGGTGATATGGGAATCATTCACTTCTTAAACATACACGGACAACATCTTTGTTATTTGAGAATCTGGGGTTGGGCGCAGTATCTTAGTTTTGGAAACAACAACCGTTTAATATATACAGATCATGATTCTATAAACTGTATAGACCTGGGTGGCAGTGACATTTTTAAAATTCAAATACAAGGAGAAAATATGCACAGACAAATTGTGCAGGATCTGAGAAATAACATCTACGTCACAGGACGTGGCACTAACTCAATTCAACGTTTGTATGCTGATGGAACATTAGACCGTCTTGTTGTGGATGTTTATAATGGAATTAAGGACCCTTTAGCTATCTGTTTCAACACAGACTATGACAAGTTATACGTATCAAACAATGGAGAAAAATCAATACTAGTATTTAGGTGTAATTAAACAATGAATCGTGACTGGGTTTTAATTGATTCTGCATTTCTAAATGTGTTGCTTCATTTAACTATTAAACCTATTATGTAATAATACCAGTACATTGCGTGTTATTTGCATGGTCGTACTTGCTTTCTGGCATTGATGAATGTAGTAAATCTCATACTATATACTTACTGCATACTACACAGTATAGTCCAGACAATTCAGTACAATCTGGGCAAATAATGATACGAATCAGACAATATGATCGACCAGACTATACAGATAGGGTCTATTCAGACCATATGGTCAGTCATACTATACACGGGTACAGCTCAGATCATATTGGTATCACTGTACATAATTATCATATTTCCTGCTATTAAATAAATGAATTAAAGAGGTAGGAAATAAAAAAAACTATGCACGCTTTACAAAGTGTATTATATATTGAATTGTTTTCACGTTTAGAAACTTGTATTTACAATTTTGTCTTTCCAAAAACCAGTAGGTAAACAATTTTGTCTTTCCCAAAACCAGTAGGTAAACAATTTTGTCTTTCCCAAAACCAGTAGGTAAACAATTTTCAACTGAAGGTAAAACACAGATCACTATATTAAAGACAATGAGTGTGCCACGTACGGTCTGTGTTTTTGCTACTTGTTATTCTGCTTTGTATCGAGCTGATGGGTTAAGCCCTTTTAATCTGATTTTCATAGTTTGTTCATATGTTGTGCTGTTACACCACTATCCCACATTAGAGGAGGGTTGGCGCCCGCAAACATGTTTAACCCCGCCACACTCTGTTTGTTTTTGTCCAAAGTCAGGAACCTGTAATTTAGTGTTGAAGGCCGTACGGTGACCTATAGTTCTAAAATTTTATGTCATTTGGTCTCTCGTGGAGTTTTGTCTCATTGGTAATTATACCACATCTTCTTATTTTTATGTGTAGCATATTTTAAAACTGGAAATTCAAACGTTTAGAATATGTCATCACACACAGGAAATCAAGAATTACATATCGTTGTAAGAAAAAGAGTTTAAAAGTTTATAACCCTTCTTAAAAAATCACCAAAAGAAAAAAGTTAAAGGAAGTACCAAACATATAGGAGAGATCAAAAGACCATACTGACCACAAACGCCAACATCACCGAGAAAATAGACGCACAAATACAAACAATAACGAAAAACAATTAGTCAAGATAACCTTACTTGGAACAGACACAACATTTGGTTGGGTTAAACCTGGGACTATTATACTGTTAATATATTATGTCCAAGGTTAAACAAGTTTTACGTGGGCCAAACTTACTTGGTATCTACCCCACATGTCGTAAGAATAAAACAAACGACAGTCCAGCTATCAACAATATGACCACTAACTAGAATAATGAAATAAAAACGGCCCATACTTTGGATTGGCTTGATTTTTTTAAATATTACGCTTAATTCAAGAAATTTTATGAAATTTTCATTTCTTCTCAGTGTCATGTCAATCTTTATAAAAGACACAGCCAAAACATGAACATGAAGCATATTCACCTTTAACTAATATCTATACTCAGCAACGACTGTGATATTTAAAAAGAAAAAACACATACAGCAGTATTATATATCTCATAAAAAATGCTTTGATGTCATTAATGTCATTTTAACTTTTATCTAGGTGTGTAGATATCTCAATGGAAATGAACTTGATACATACCTAATTGATAGTAAATCGATTCGAGTTGTCTTCTGCATGCCATCACACCATCTCTTTCATTATCAACTTAAATTTTACTGCACCAGACATGCATTTTGACGAAAAAGGACCAAAATGTTTGGCAAACCGAAAACAGGAATCAGAGGTATGCATAAGAGAGATACATTCCTGAGTGTTTAATGATTCCCTAACTTTATTACAGTAAATCTCATAAAAAATATTATTACTAAAAGAATGTTTTCGGGCCAGTACCGAAGTAATGGGCTACTGGGCTGGATATACCATCGAAGACTTACAGTCAAGCAGGATATTATAACATTAAACGGTACCAATTTTACTTCAGCAAAAGCGGTCTCAACAATTATGTTCGTGTCCAAAATATTTAAAAATCCCAAACCTTCATTTTAATTCATTTCCTAATTGTCATCACTATAAAGAATATTAAAATTGAGAATGGAAATGGGGAATGTGTCAAAGAGACAACAACCCGAAGAAAGAGCAGAAAACAGCCCAGGGCCACTAATGGGTCTTCAACACAGCGAGAAAATCCCGCACCCGGAGGCGGGCTTCAGCTGGTCTCTAAACAAAAATGTGTACTAGTTCAGCGAAAATGGACGTCACACTAAACTCCGAACCATATAAATGAACTAAATTTTAAAAAAACATACAAGACTATCAAAGACCAGAGGCTCCTGACTTGGGACAGGCGCAAAAATGCGGCGGGGTTAAACATGTTTTGTGAGATCTCAACCCCCGCCCCTATACCTCTAGCCAAAGTAGAATAAACAAACACACAGCAATACCGACAGTAAAACTCAGTTTAAAAGAAGTCCGAGTTCGATGTCAGAATAGGTAATTGAAGAAACTAAGCAAAATGACAATAATACATAAATTAACAAAGGACTACTAGCAGTAACTGACATGCCAATTCAAGACCTCAATTAAACTGATTGAAAGATTATGTTTTCATCATATGTAAATCAAGCAAAATCCCTCCAGTTAGGGGTTTAGTATCAAACCATCATAAAATATATGAGAAGAACATAACCCGTATCATGCCAACAACTGGTTTTAGAATACATGTGTTTATTTCCGATGCAAAGACCCTATGAGTGAAAAAATATTAATTCCAAAATATGCCATCTTTAATGACCTGACAACAACATCGTAACTATATCCCATCTGAATAAGTCTGTTTAAAGGTTTGTTTAGATTTTGAGGTGAATGACGACATTTTTGTGCTTTGTATAGAATACTACCATAAAAGATTGGATGTGAAATACCTGAACGTATAAGATGTCTGCATGTTGATTTGTATTTTCACAGCGGGGAAATTCTCATCTTGTGACACAAATTTACAAGCATACTTCATATCGCACAATAATGTTTTATATAATCTAAGATGTTACATCGGCATGAAAAGAAAGAAGTAAGTTCTTTATTAGGATTTATTCTTTTTCCCAATATATTTATAACATGTATCGCTATTATATAGTTATACATTTTTATTTATATGTTGTATTTTCTGTATAACAACTTCCGTGAAAATACGAATTTTGTGTAATTAAAATTTGCTGTTACAAAATTTAGGAAATTATTGAAATTAAGGAATGTATCTCCCTCAAGCAAAGCTCTCATTCCTTGCCCGGCTTTGGATATACTTTTTTGTCTTTTTTGGTTTATAGCTCTTCATCTTTTTAATAAGCTTTGGATTTCAAATATTTTGGCCTCGAGCATCACTGAAGAGACATTGATTGTCGAAATGCGCATCTGGTGCAGAAAAAATGGTACCGTTTATGTTGTTACGTAAAACACCAAGAGAGTTATACCTTTGTGATAAAAGAATGTTATTGTTTTTTAATATCTGAGCATATATATTGATTGTAGATATCTATGTCTATTTAAAATATGATGTATATGACAATAAAAGCTAGTCAAATGAACTGGATTTATATCTGAATATCTTGTTTCCTACGTATAAATATCGTAAAATACCAGCCGCTCGACACAGTAGGAAGCACTTTTGCTCGTTCGCCGCGCTCACTCGCCAAAAAATGGTCCACATTGTGGCATGCGGCTGATATTTTACGATATCAATGTGTAGAAAACCCGATATTCTATACATATTGACGTAATCTTAAACAATAGTCGGCTGAGAACTAAACCATAAAACAAAACATATGATTTCGATTTTCCCATTGTAAATTGTCCATTTCTGTTTTGCAACGTTCCAGCAGCGCCTGCATATGGAGTATATATTTCCCAGTTGATACAATATTCCAGGACTTGCGTTTCCTATCATTATTTACTTGACAGCAGGTAGCTGCTTACAAAGAAGCTACAGAAGCAAGGGTTTTACATACAAATAATGGCTCATTTAAAAGTACATATAACTTGAAGGGACAAAAGACTTATGTTAAAAGCAGTTCTATATAGAAAAAAAGTGTTGTAAAATATATCAGTAAAAAAATAAATGTAGTAATTAAAATTCCAGAAGAGCAAGGACAATAATTGTGTAAAATGAAACTAAAGTATGATTTAAGCAGTATCAGTCTAAGTTATACAAGTACATCTACTTAAATCACTGTTCTTTTGACTTTGCAAACACATTTGAATAGAGTCTTAGTTGCCTTCCAAAACTCAGGATCCAGGAATGCATAGATAAACGGATTTATGAAATTGTTTACTTTAGTATCAAGTAAGTATGATAGAGCCATAGCACAACGATAAGTTGGTTCCTTGATAAGTTATCCCAGAAATCGTGTATAATTCCTTCCAATGTTAGAATGATTCCCACAGGTATTACACTAATAGCAAACACTAAAGTTATAATCATAAACATCAACGTGAACGTGTTCTTTATCCGGTTATTTCGTTTAAAATGGCCGTAAATGGTACATCCAATTCTTCCATATATTTTTGGCCGTAAATGGTACATCCAATTCTTCCATATAAAAATATAAATAAAACTAGAATTAGAAAATTAACAGAAAGATAAACGATGCCATAGGCAGCGCCATCTATATCCGAATCATATTTAATTTTTCCACATCGTTTTCCTACAATAGTGCCCTCGCTTGCAAACTCTATGTGATCATACGTCATAGCTAGAGGCACTGCCATAGAAAATGCAAACAAAAAGGACAAGGCAACCATTGTTTGTCTAAAGTAAAGGGATATTGTTATATTTTTACATATCTTCAAATATCGTTGAACAGCAATACACATTAAGACAAACACCGATGCAAATGCTGTAGGTGTTAAAAAAAAGAGTGCCATTTTACATCCTAAACTGTTCTTGTAGTTCAAGTGCATTGCAAGAAATATAATGTTTTTCCCTTGACTATTTCATGAAGGCTAAAAGTATTTATTTTATTATTTGTTTTTTTTCCAGACAAATACAAATAACATTTGTTTAATGATTGGGTG